CAAACAAACAAACCTGTGTTTGTATGAACACTAATTAACGCAGAAATATTCCTTCACATCTTTTGTCATCTAAACTACCAGAATAACTAATAGGAATGTAATTGACAGTTTTTGATGTGTTAAACACTCTTAAAACTTGTGTATTAATAATTTTGTTTTAAATTATTTACAAAAAGGTTGTGAATGATTTGTCCCATATATATATATATATATATCATTTTTCATTCATTTAAGAACATTCAGTATGCACAAAATAACAGTGAAAAGACCTTTATATAGTATAAGTGGTAATTTTGTATCCATGTATATAGTTATATAGCATGAATATTAATTTAGCATTAAATTGAAAACTTAAGGAATGCTTATAAATAAATTATTAAATTTGAAATTGTTTTTATATCTACATTTTAATCTTTATATAGATGAACCCACAGAGGTGAAATTCTAACCTTAATCACATTATTTTTTTTCATTATAAAAGGTTTAGTAATGAATGTGATACAGTGACACTGCAGTGCTCATAGCTGGTCAGCCCAGCTTTTCCAAAGTAATTTCTGTTCAAAAGATACACAAGCAAAACTTCAAAATGAAACCTATTGTAGAACTTGAAGAATGCTTAAGAGACTCACCAAAATTCAGGTAATATTAATTATGGCTTATTTCAAAATAGAATTATGTCGGGGATTGCTGAACATGATAAAAGATGTAAACAACTTGTTATTAAGTTATACATGTATAGAATTAAGGAATTACACTAAAAGGTTACAAGTAAGAAATTTTAATGCTTTTTTTATCCTGTTTTCACAACTGATTCTGACTTTTAGTCAGTGTTTCCAGTTCATTCTTATTGTAAGTTTTAAATCTACTTAATTACTTATTGCATTATATAAAGCATTTCATGCACATTTTTTATCTTCATGCTGAAAAACATTTTCCTTGAGTACATATATTTAGAATTTTTATAGCAAGTCCATCAAATGATCATTCATTATGTCTTCTTTACCTTTCTTTCTGCACCATCTCAGTCATTTACAAACTGTTTCATAATTACAAGAGACTTCTTACACTTATCAGTAATCTACACCTTTTGTGACATGATCACTAAGGTCTCCTCTAGCATGTTTTCGCTCAAGCGCCCACTCTTTTTCATTTATGAGCATACAGTTAAGATGTTTGTTTTTTATTTGTGTTAGTGCTCTATGTTGCTGTTTTCTTCTTTACACATTCTTCTGAACTGTAATTTTTTTTTTTTTTGTAGTTGAAAATACATCATTGAAGAAATTAATTTTTTAAATTATAATCCTGCTGTTGCTATTGAGGGTTCTGACCTTTATGTAAGAAAATTTCTTCCTCTTTGATTTTATGTTTTTTTTTCCTTCAGGAAATCCATTTATTCATGATATTTAGGTTTAGGTAGAACTAATTCTGATTTCTCTGCATTTTATTCTCAACTTGACTCTTGACATAGCTGGAAAGCTTTGTATTCAAAATCCACAATTATTATTCTTGGTTGTTCTATTAAGGATCACTGTTTTATCTCTATACTTCCCATCTGTCCTATGTCTGATATTTATTTTTTTTACTTCACACATTAGAAAAATTTGTTTCCTTGTATTGATATCTATACTGGCTGCATTAAACTGGAATTCAAGTAAGTACTTACTTCAAAACAGATGTATTCTCCCTCTAGATGTCTCTTTAAAAAATGACTTTTGCAGCTGAAACTTGCTAAAAGAGACCTAACTATGCATGTAAGTACAACTGCAATCTGATGAAAGGTGGAGGAAGTTTCATGAATTATGAGAAAGCTTGTTATTGAGTCATATCATAGAAGGGTTTTGGAGAAGACCTAGTTGATGATCATTTGATGGAATTGCTAAACATCTTTCTAGAATTGTATTCATTTAGTATTGAATTATATTTGAAAGTAAGGCCTTGAGAAAAATTT